GAAAAAGAAAAAGAAAAAGAAAAAGAAAAAGAAAAAGAAAAAGAAAAAGAAAAAGAAAAAGAAAAAGAAAAAGAAAAAGAAAAAGAAAAAGAAAAGGAAAAAGAAAAGGAAAAAGAAAAGGAAAAAGAGAAAAAGAAAGAAAAAGACCCATCAGGCTGCTCTTTTAGGCTTTTCTGTGGCTATGAGACCATCTCTGCCCACACAGCTTCAATGATGCCAAATATTTGACACTGCTGGGACTGAGAATGAGCAGAAGAATGAAAGTTTCTCTTTCCCGATGTCAGTTGTTGCTAGTGTTAGCGAACCAGGACCAACCTACGTCTCTAGCACAAAGCTCAGCATATAAAACGCTCAGCCTGCCAGCTCTGTGGAGAAGGGGCATCAGAGCAACTGGAGGCTCACGATCTGCAGAGCTGACACCAGTGATTACCCAAACTGAGCATTACTTGTGAGCTCCACATTTCCCTGGAGATTTCAGACAACCAAGGTCACATCATCATGGGGTTGGAGAGAGCAGAGCACAAGCAACTTGCATCTGGAGGGTGATGGGCAGAGCTGGAGTTGTTTAGTCTGGGAAGAGATAACGAAGCAGAGTGAGGAGCAAGCGAAGACTGGAACTTGATGCTACATGACAGAAAATATGGTGAACGATTTCATGCGAACTGCTGGCCTCAAATAAACTACTGTACGTGCACAAAGATTGGGAGCAGCCTGCTATACCCAAGATGTGTTTTCCCCATCAGGAGGCTTTGCAGATGAGGGCTGTTTGCAGGAGGAATTTTTGATTGCCTGCTCTCTGAAGGCCTTCAAAGGGCATTTGGGCACTTGGAAGTGCCACTCAGAGGTGAAGTGATCATTTCTCTGTCCAGCACTACATATTCACCATTAGGCAAGGCATAGCAGCCTAGTTATTAGGCAAATTCAGGTACGGAAAGCCAAAGAACAATCTTTGGTCTCAGTCTCCTATGCAAATCCAACGATTTGAAGGAAAAAGAGCTACACTCTTTTTCTTTTACTTTGAACTCCCCCAGCAAAAATTTTGCTGTTATAGGACTAGCAGAAGTGCAGCACTGTCTCTGTGAATTATTATTATATGTTGAAGGGAAAAAAAAAAGGTAATTATTATGTGTTAAAGTGTACCTAAATTAGAGGAAAGGGCAGGATCAAAGTGCAGGGAAAAGAGTAACTTAGAAACTTCAAAAAGGGAGGAAAAAAAGATCTAGAGCTATGTAAAATATAATGCAACTGCAGTCTGGCCCTCTGGTGCTAATTCTCTGGTGTCTTGTTGCTACAAAGCTACAAATCCCTCCCCACCCCCTGAAAAAAAAAAAACAAACCAAAACACCTAGACTTCAGTAATTGCAAATCTGGAAGGAATTTAGTGAGATGAAATAAGCTTMAAATCCAGGAAACTGGTACTCTCCAGGCAGGGCTTTGCCAAGTGAACTCTGCTGCTGCAGCTCATCAGAGCCATTGGGGGTTGATATGTCCCAGTTGGGTTGCTTCTATAATTAATGTAGATGAGTAATTACTACTTAAACATGTCGTTTTATACGTAGGCTGCCAAAGAACATAATCTTTCCTGCATCCATCTGCCCTGCACCTGCCCTCTGTAGTGCTAAGGAAACCTGCATCTCCCCATGCACGGATGACTAGAATGAGGCTCTTACAAGGCTGGCAAGGCCTTAAATTTCATCTCATAAACAGTTTTGCTGGCATTCGATTTATAGCTTCATGTATTGCATCTATACGTGCCAATGATAAATCCCAATACAGAGCTTTATATTGTAAATCTTATGCTTGAACATCTGGGCAATCCGAGGCAACAAAGAGCCCATGTGACGTGTTTCCTTTTT